CTAAATTTACACTCCATGTACTCTGACTTAGTTCTGCTTATCCGAAATCCTTTAGATTCAAGAGCTTTTCTCCAAATCTCCAACTTTCTATTAACTCCTTCTCTAGTCTCATCCACTAACACAATATCGTCTGCAAAAAGCATACACCATGGCACGTCATCCTGAATATTTATCGTCAACTCATCCATAACTAAAATAAAAAGATAAGGACTTAAAGTTGATCCTTGGTGTAACCCTACAGTGATAGGAAATTCATTTGATTTCTCCAGTTGGCGATTAATAGTGGTCACCACCCCTTTATACATTTCCCTAATCACGTCACATGTAGCCTTTTGTCACCCATTTCTTCTAACACCCACCATATTATATCTCGGGCACTTTGTCATATGCTTTTCTCAAGATCGATAAACACCATATGAATGTCTCTTTTCTTTTTCTTTAACTTTTCTATTACTCTCCTCAAAAGATTAGATCGCTTCCATTGTGACAACAAGATAAACCCAAATTGATTCTTGACACCTCTGTTATGTCTCGCAATCAGCGTTCATTACTCTCCCACATTTCATTATATGACACATTAGCTTAATTCCTCTATATTGTTACAGTTCTGGACATCACCTTTATTCTTATAGATTGGCCACTAAAATACTCTTCCTCCACTCATCTAGCATGTTCCTAGTCAACAAAATTTTGCGCTAAACAACCTAGTCAAAACCAAGCAAACTCCCTTTCCCAAAACACTTCCAAGTTTCAATAGGGATACATCAGGTCCTAAATCTTATTTGATTTCATCTTCTTAAGTGCAATCTCCACTTCAAAATTCTAATCCTGCGATAGAACCTATAGTCTTGGTTATCGTATTACTGATTATTTCTTCCCTATTTGTCGTACTTCCATGTTCCTCATTTAATAGTTTCTCAAATTAAATTTTTCTCCATCCTTCCTTAATTCTCATACTTCACAATACCTTAGAATCCTCAACTCTTGATGCACTTTACTTGGTATTAAAATCTCTTGTTTTCATCTCCCGTATTCTTAGCAGTTTGTTGTATACCCTCTTCTCTCTCTCCTTACCTATCTAGTCTAGTGTATAGGTTCATCAATAAATTTCAACTTGTCTCTCTCTCACTACTTTCTTGCCTCCTTATTAGCCAATTCTATAGCTCTTAAGGTTTTCCTTAGTTCTATTCCTTCTTGCCACTTTTTAAAGCACTCTTTTTTTATTGCCTTAAACTACCGCTTGACCTCTTTTCCCTCCTCACCACACCAAGTTTCCCTACAGCTGAGGGTCTCGTTCCTTTCGACTCTCCAAGCACTTCCCTTGAGCTTCTCCTCATACAATTGGCCATCGAATTCCACATAGTGTTAGCATCACCTTCTAAGTCCCAAGTACCTTCCTTATCCATTCGATTCTTAAATATTTCTAGTTTTTCCCCTTTTAGGTCCTACCATCTCGACCTGCGACGCCCACCATCCTTCCTAACTTGGTATTTCTCTCTAAAACATAAATCTAGTATCAAAATCCTATGTTGAGAGACCAGACTCTCTCCAGGAATCACCTTACAATCATTGCATTTTAGGCAGTCCACTTTTCTCACTAAGAAATAATCTATTTGGCTCTTAACTAATCCACTCTTAAAGGTTATCAAATGCTCCTCCCTCTTCTTATACATAGTATTGGCCACCACCAGGTCAGAAGCCAATGCAAAATCTAAGATTCTCTTTCCAGCCTCATTTCTGTCACCAAAACCGTATCCACCATGCACCCTTTCATAACCATGGCCATTAAAATCTCCACCTATAACCAGGTTCTCTCCTACGGGCATCTCCTGTAAGATCTCATCCATTTGCTCCCAAAAATCCCTCTTAGTCTGATCATCTAACCTTACTTGAGGGGTGTAAGCGCTAATAATGTTCACTATATTTCCTCCAATAACTAGTTTAACTAGCATAATCCTATCTCCTTTCCTAGTGACCGCCACCACCCTTTCCACAAGACCCTTGGCAATTATGATTCCTACCTCATTCATGCGTCTATCCTTACCACTATAATAAAGTTTAAAACCAGTATCCTCAATTTCCCTAGCTTTCTCTCCCGTCCACTTAGTTTCTTGCATGCAAGCTATACTAACTCTCCTCATAATCATAACATCTACCAATTCCATCGTCTTACCAGTTAAGGTTCCTATGTTCCAAGTGGCTATCCTAAATCTATAGTCTTGGACTAGCTTCTTTACCCACGCTCGTCCAGAAAAACGCAGAAACCTTTGTCTATTTTTCACCGCACCCAGGCGTCGATGCGGCGCCCCTTGCTCATTTTTCGAAACACCTGGAGGCAGGCACAACGTGTCACTTGAGGGGAACGACCTAGCATTTAAACGATTCAAAGTAGGATTCATTTTCATAAGGGATCCGAGCAGCTTTTTTACGTGTTGGCTGTCGGCTACCTAACACACAACCCTCCTCCTTAACCCGGGCTTGGAACCGGCGGGGTTGTTAACAACCCCGGCGGAGTTACTTTTTAATATTTTTATATATTTATAAAATACTTTTTGCACATTTTCTAACAATAAACAATATGTGGGAAGCATTTGTTAGCATTTGTCATTATTAATTCCCTTACTATTACAACATAATCAAACAAGCCTTTATTAGTTAAACCCTGGCAAAACATGATTCTCTTATACAATAATAAAATTACTTAAATTATTAATTGAAACATATTTCTAATATCATTAAAAATAGTTAATTGACTTAATAATTTATTAATAAAATGGATGATTTGTTATGAAATTAGAAACCTCAGAAGGTAAAATATAATTTTCAAAATTATAAGAAACGATTTATATTTTAATTAAATTTCAAAAGGTGTATTTATAATTTGTCCTTAATTTTATTATGTTAGGAGTGATAGTATTAATAAAAATGAGAAGTAATGTTATATTACGAATAATTATTAATAAATGATAAAAATTAAAAATGTGAGATGAAAAATAATTTTTTTAAAAAATAAGCATCTTGAGGTGGAATATTTTAACAGTTTAGTCGTCTTACATTGAAAAAAATTAAATTAATAATTTAATAAATATAACTTGGGTTGGGCCATGAGAGTATCAAATTTTTTATCCAGATGGGACGAGTTGAAAGTGATTATCTCTATACCTAACTCATACTAAGGAAAAATTATTGATTAATTTTGTGTGATGGTGTTTTTCACCAACTTGTTTTTTTTGTTTTTTTGTTTTTTGTTTTTTTTGTTTTTTTTTTTTGTTTTTTTTGGTTTTGTTTGTTTTTTTTTTTTTGTTAAATTACAAAATTTGATCCTTTTTTTAGTTCCTCGAAAGTTTATTTATTTTCATCTCATTAGAATAATTCAAATTAGGTTGATTATTATTATTTAAATTTATTTATAGGTTCTCGATGACTAGAGACCCCAAGAAGGAGATCAAATTTGAATCAAATTTAAAGGGTAAGTTATACCCTTCATTCTTGAGTTTTAAAAAATATATATATATATATATATATATAATAAAAAATTTTAAGTTTGACATAATTATATTAATATTTTTTAAAATAAATTTAAAGGATCAACGTAATTAGTATAGATTGCGGGCAGACTTGGGAATAAACAAAGCAAAATATACAATTTAATGTAAAACAGTAAAATATTATTTTTCATTTATATAATTAACGAATTACCAATGAAAAATATGATTAAGTGTTGTGAAAATTAAAATTAATGATGAAAAATGTGATTAACAATGTTGTGCAAATTAAAACATTTAAAAAACCCAATATAATTATACCAAAGTTGTGATGTCTCAATAAGTTTTCTTAAAACCTGAAGAGAGGTTAGTTTAATTTTTCCTAAAATGAAAATAAGGATAAATTACAAATACGCCCTTTGTGATTTGTTTAAAATATGAATTCTCCGCATAGCTTGAAAAATTACAAATATTTCATTGTCAAAATATTTTATTTAACAAAATGAACAAAAAAAAAAATGAAATGTCTAACAGTTCTCCTATACAATAATAAAATTACCTGAATTATTAATTGAAATAAATTATGACATAAGTAGAAACTGTTAATTAACTTGATGATTTATTAATATAATCTATATTATATGGATTCGGGTACAGGTGTCAGGTATGGGTGCTTATCTAAAGGTCGGACTCATCAAATCTCAAATTTAAGGTTATGCGAATTTGGCAAAAAAGTGATATATTTTTATATTTTTAATCAATTATGTGAGATAAATGGTATTATATGTAACATATAGTGTCAAAAATGTGTTTTATAGCAATTATACAACAAATGATACATGTAAGAGCATCTCCAACCCACTAAGTATATCATTCTTGTTAGTCAAAATGTCTAGTATAACTCATTTTTTTCAACTTTAATGCACTATGCATATGATTAAACATTTTAGCTCAACTTACATTCACCAGTTATATGTAGCTAGCCTTCAAGGCTAAGCAAAATGTATTTAATTATTAGGATCATTTTCCTCTATCTTCGTTGCTGATGTGACATTTTATAAAATTAATAATATTTAGATGAATAGGTAAAATAAAGAGTATGATTGGAGTAAAAACATGAAAAAATTGATAGGCAAAATAAAATATATACTTTATAGTAATGTTTACATAGGTAAAATGCCTATTACCGTTGTAGATGCTCTAAGATAGTGGTAAATACAAATTTATGAAAAGTGTCCAATGAAAAGTATCGAACACATATCTCACACCCTTGTTCGAGTATCGGATGTCCGATATGAGTATTTAATTTGTTTTAAATAGTTGATGTAACATAGAATAAAATGAGCCATCTGTTATGAAATTAAGAATTTCAAAGGCAAGATGTAAATTTTAAAATTATAGAGGACAAGTATATTTCTAATTTCTACTTTACCGTAAAATAAACTAAAATTTTCGTAGACTAAAATAACTTGAACCAAACGGGTCCTTAGTATTCATCAGCTTATTTAAGGACACCATCACAAGAGAAACTCATCAGAGCAAAACACACTTCACTAACATCATGGCAACCTTTGCTAACCAACCATTGCTAGACTCTCCCAAGAGAAAACTCTCTCTCTGCAAATCTCTCTCTTTGGTTCTCTCTCTAGTTGCTATCATAACCCCAATCTCCATACTCACCATCAACCTCTTCAATCAAACCTCTTCTTCTTCTAATTCTCTCTCTCTCTCAGCCAACCTTTGTGATCGGGCTCTTGATGGGGCCTCATGCTCCGCCATGGTATCAGAAGTTGCTCCCCCTGAAATTTTGATGCAAATGAAGGGCCCTGATTTGTTGCAGGCCTTCTTGAAGAAATCCGCTTCGGGCATACGAAAGACTATCGAGACAGCGAGCGGTATCAGCCGTCGGATCAACGACATGAGAGAGCAAGGGGCTCTAGCAGATTGCCTGGAGTTGATGGAGTTGTCAATGGATAGAGTGATGGACTCTGTGAAGGCAATTGAGAAAAGGACAGCCGAGTCACATTCGGATGCCCATTCATGGCTCAGTAGTGTTCTCACCAACCATGTTACTTGCCTAGACGGGTTAACCGGGTCGGCCCGGTCCATGATGGAGCCCGAGCTCGAAGATATGGTGGCAAGAGCTAGAGCTTCTCTAGCCATGGTGGTTGCAGTGTCACCACTGGAAGACGATCAGGTATAACTTGTCTCTCATTAATCCAATTGCATATTATTTAGATGATGGCACCGGTAAATGATATTACTGTTATATTTGTTATTTACCCTCCATACACTCATATGCTTTACAAAAAAATTTAATGGACAGTCCCTTTCTATCCTATGAAAATACTTGTCATCCCATAGGCCATAAATGTTTGGAATTGTATTTTAATCCTTTTTTTTTTTATAAAAAAAATTAGATGTTTTTCATGACAATTTTATTCTTATTTTGGACAACATATTTTATGTTTTTCTTAATATTTCAAAATTTTAGAATTTTTTAACGTTTAAAATATACATCCACTTTCTTTTTATAAAATTTATAATTTTGAAAACTGCTCAATGAAATATATCAAATATGATTTTAATTGAATATAAAATTATGTAAAATAAAAAAAAATGAAAAATTTGTTGTTTTTTTTTTCAATTTTTTTTTTTTTTAAAGTGTGAAATATTTTTACTTCCAAAATTTTACGCTTTGATAAATAGTCATGACACTCCTCTCATCTAGTCTAGTGTATAGGTCATCATAAACTTTCAACTTAGTCTCTCTCTCACTACTTTCTTGGCCTCCTTATTAGCCAATCTATAGCTCTTAAGGTTTTCCTTAGTTCTATCCTTCTGCCACTTTTTAAAGCACTCTTCCGCGGCTTACGTGAGCACCTTTGGGGCTTTTCACCATCTTATCAAATTTCACAAATACCCTCTGTCTATCGCGTGTCACTTTCAAATTGAATGGTTTAAATGTTATGCCAAATATATATATATATATATATATATATATACATATAGTGTGTGTAGATTTTGTTGGTAAATGTGAAAATTGTAAATGCAATGTTATAGCACAAGACACATTAATTATGTTTAAAAAAATTCATTAAAAAATTTAATTAATAATTTTGCATCCCAAAAGGTTTTTAAAATATATGTTTTAAATAAAACTTAATTTGTAAGAAAGTATAAAGGGTCTCACTTAATTTTTCTTTTTAAGGCCTCAAATAAGTTTGAGCCGCTGCGGTTGATCGGTGAGTTTCCACGGTGGGTGACTGCTAGAGATCGGAAGCTTTTGGAGGCAATGGCAGGAACTCCGAATGCCAACGTGGTGGTGGCGAAAGACGGGAGTGGGAACTATAAGACTGTGAGTGAAGCTGTGGCCTCGGCACCAAACAATGGCAACACTCGTTATGTTATCTATGTCAAGAAGGGAACCTATAAAGAAAACGTTGTGATTGGGAGTAGTAAGAAGCTTATTATGCTTACTGGTGATGGAATGGATTTGACTATCATCACTGGTAGCTTGAATGTGGTTGATGGAGCTACAACCTTCAATTCTGCAACTGTTGGTACTAATCATCTCACTCTTTATATTTCAATCTGCTATATAGTTTTCCAACAATGATCTTACTGTGTTTCTTATTAGTAGAAGATATGTCAAAAAAATACATAATTTAACTATTCGAGTTAAACTAAAGAACAAATGTGATTAAAAACAAAAACACTAATGCTGTGTTTGGTTGGGGGATTTGGGGAGGGATTTGGAAAGGGAAAGGGAAAAAGTGTGTGAAACTATGTGAAATATAGGCATAATTTATTCACATTTCACCTACCTTTTCCATTTCCCTTTCCAAATCCCTCCCTAAATCCCCCAGCCAAACACAACATAAAACAACTTAATTCTCTTTTAATTTTAAATATAACCCATTTGATTAACACAATTTTCATTACCACTGTAGCTGCTGTTGGTGACGGATTCATGGCCCAAGACATATGGTTCCAAAACACGGCCGGCCCGGCGAAGCACCAAGCAGTTGCGTTACGTGTTGGAGGCGATCAATCAGTCATAAATCGTTGTCGCATTGATGCCTATCAGGACACTCTTTACACCTACACTAACAGGCAATTCTACAGAGATAGCTATATTACTGGCACAGTGGATTTCATCTTCGGCAACGCAGCAGTTGTTTTCCAAAATTGCAAAATTGTGGGCCGAAAGCCCATGAGTGGACAGTTCAACACAATAACGGCCCAAGGTCGAACTGACCCAAACCAAAACACTGGGACTTCAATCCAAAGCTGCAATGTGATAGCCAGCTCGGACCTTGAGCCCGTTAAAGGCACTATAAAATCATATTTGGGTCGTCCATGGAAGGCTTACGCGAGGACTGTTTTCATGGAATCATACATTGGGGACTATATTGACCCTACAGGTTGGTCAGTGTGGAGTGGTGATTTTGCTTTGAGCACGTTGTATTATGGTGAGTACATGAATAACGGTCCTGGTGCGGGTACCAGTAAGCGTGTCACATGGGCTGGATATCATGTAATTACTAGTGCGACTGAAGCAACGAAGTTTACAGTGGCTCAGTTGATACAAGGAGGATCATGGTTAAAGTCCACTGGAGTAACCTATACTGAAGGCTTGTGAACGTGGTGTTTCTATTTTCTTTTGTCTACTTGTACTTTGCTCTCTTCACTCTTATGGTTTTTAATTGAAGAGACACTCTAGTATTGCATGTTACCTTGGCATAATTTGTATGATCAATTTACCAGCTTGTTTTTGTGCAATCCAATCTTGAATGGAGTTGCTATTTTCCAGGGCAAGCTTTACAGCTTGTTGCCAACCCCAAGTAGTAACTGCATCAATATTGTTATACTCTCTCCATTCCATTTTGTTGGTGTGCTATTTCATTTTGAGATGTTCCAAAATAATAGCCTCATTTGAAATGTTGAAGTAAAAAATATTTGATTTTCTAAAATTACCCTTTTTAGTAATTATAAACATATTAAAATTTTGAAAAGATAGGATTATTATTGAAAAAATATTTTGAAATTTAAATTTAATTGTAATGATTAGATGTCGTATGTCAAACACCACAATAATTTTATGACAAAATTAAATCACGTAAAAGTGTAAAGAATGTAAATGTTAGATTTGTCATGAGATCTTTTATCCTTATGTCTAGACACACTCTAGTTACTATATTTTGACACATAGTTTGATCTAAATTATACATTAATTCTTATTATTTCAATTTAAATAATTTGGTCCCTACACTTTAAGTACAGTTTTAATTTGGTCTTTCCGTCTAAATTTCTATTAATTTTGTTTATATGTTCACTTTAGAAAATTGACAAGTATTCTAAAATTGTTAATTTTAACCTCCGATTCAGGCATAAAGACCAAATTAAAAATGAACTTAAAGTGTAAGGATTAAATTATTTAATTTGAAATTATATGAACTAAAATAAAATTTAAATCAAATTATAAAAATAAAAAACATAATTACACAGTTATATCTTGAGATTTCCACCCCATGCATGGTGCGGGATTATAGAATTAACTTCTTACTTCTATATTCCACAGTCTAAAAGTTTTACTATGTTGCAAATCTAATCGTCTACAGATGTATTTCTTTTATGCATCATGATATTACAAAAGTTGAATATCTAGATTAGCAGGGAACATACAGAAAAATGACACACGATGTATGAATCTTCAAAGTTTGTAATGTCAGTACTCGAAAAATTTAATGCTTTCAAAGAATGAAAAAAGAGTAAAATGCTACCTCTTGTACTTTATAATGTTGTCCCTTTCTTAAAATTTAAAAACATAATGAATGCAATTTTATATTTTTATAAATGAAGTCCATTTTATTTATTTATTTATTTTGAATCTTTCAATATAAAACTCTAATTTTTTTCTTATACTTAAATGACAATATTTTGAATTTAGCATGCGCGCGCACACAGAAAAAGTCTATGTGAGTACATTGAGGACCACATTGACCCTGCAGGTTGGGCAAAGTGTGAGGGTGATTAGAATTTGAACACATTGTATTATGGTGAGTACATGAACTAACTATGGTTTGGGTGCAGGCATCGCGTTGCTCGTCACATGGTTAGGGTATCACGTCATCACTGATCCAGCCGAAGCAAGCAAATTTACTGTGGCTCAATTGATACAAGTAGGGGAATGGTTGGATTCCACAGGGGTAACTTATACTGAAGGTTTGTGAATGAGGCTTTTCTAATTTCTTTTGTTAACTTGTCCTTTATCTTCTTGACTACTCTATGGTTCTCCATAGCAGACACTCTTAGTATTGTAGGTTACCTTGGAATAATTTGTATGATCAATTTAACAGTCTGCTATGGTTACATGGTGGCTATGAAATTGGCACAATCCAATCTTGAATTGAAGGGTTATTTTGTAGGGCAAGTATAATTTAATTGTACCGTTATTTTAATGTGTCAAGTAATACGAAAAGTTTATATATTCAAAATTAAACCATATAAAAATATAAATTTTTTAAGATCACATCATATGAGAAAAAGTCTTACAAAAATGCCATAAAATTATTTATACCTTTATCGGCAAAATTTTCAAAATCCATGTTCTAGATCTTAATTATGTCATTAAACCAACAAGTTGACTCTAATGCCTAACAAATTCTAAATTAATGGTATATAAAAATTTACCCCAGACATTTCCTTTGTTCACGAGGGGACACTTATTTATTTGTACAGGTGGAAGCGTGGAAAAAAAAATATCACAATTAAAAAAATGTCCATTGAAAAAATCTAGTCGTTGGAAAAAAGTAAAAGAAATAATAATTTAAAGGGAGATGGTTAAAATTGAGAATGTTGTTGTGAAGTATATATTGAAAAAATGGTTGGCTATTTTTTTTTTTTTTTAAACATTGAGATTTTGAGTAATATTGCTGGGAAGGCTTTTAAACCACAGAAATTAATATTCATCCAAAAATTATGAACAGAATTTGTCACTAATGATGTGGAGGTAATATTTCTATAGTTAAATATTATTTTAACAAGTACTTTATCTTAAAATGACAAGTCTAATTACAATTATATCATTCTGTATATAAAATTTATATTGTATATATATATTATTTTTTTATTTTTTTTATATATGATTACTTTTTGCCTTGGACTACTCACCTCCCCCATTTGCTACTACTTTACAATGTGCTACAATTTGTGTATGAATAAAGAAAAATGTTTGGTGGCCACAAATTTTATAGTTTAAATGGTTTGAAAATGTTAAAATGATATCGTTTTGTATTCAAAACGATGTTGTTTTGGATGTTTCAAACCATTCAAATCATGTATTTTTAGGCCACCAACCATTGTTGATGAATAAACTATCTGAAAACGTCAATTTCATAATATTTAAAGACTAGGACATCACTTTACACTCTGGCTTTTGGACACTGCATCAAACAATATGGAATTCTTGTTTTATATTCTTAAGTATGTCGGCCTTATGTACATTAATTATTATATTTAGTACTATTAGTTTATTAGATAATCTCAATTTGGTTTCAACATGCACATGCTTATATGCTTTGTTGTCGTAGAGGTCCTTTTAATTTTAATTATAATCAAAATATTTCTAATTGTGAGTGGTAATTACAAAAATACTGCTTTCATCTCATTTTCTCAGTAAATTTTATAGGAATATGATATATACGTCGGGTGAACATTCAAAATTATGTGACAAAATTCAAACTCAGTGCGTTGTGTGTTTTATATAATAAAATAGATTTCAGTTTAAAAAAATAAATATAATAAAATAGATATTATGTACAACAATGATTCATCCCACTAAAAACACCATCACTAATAGCACTAATGCATTAAAAAAGTAAAAAAAAAAAAAAAAAAACACAACTCCAAGACCAAAACATCACATCATTAATGGCGGGACCCACTGCCACCTAATTAGTGGGAGCACTAATTAGTGCTCCCAAGCATTTTTCTATTATGTAAACCAACAAGAAGACTTCAAAAGTGATATGATGGATTATATACTGAGATCTAGTTAATACTTGAAAACTTTAGAAAATAATGAGAGAAAAAAAAATGATTTGCAAGATTCATTTGATTTTTTTTCTCATGAAATAATGATTATTGTTTTTGGATTAATTATATTTTTTATAATTGTAGATTGATTCAAATTTCACTTTGGTTTCTAAAGTTTTAGTTGGGTGAATTACACTAACGGTCCCTATAGTTTAGGACTTGTGTCATTTTGGTTTCTGACTTTTCAATTGTGACAAATTTGACCATGAATTTTGAATATTGTTCCAAATAAGGACAATTGAAGATGCCATTAGATTTTTCAAGGGCAAAATTGTCAATTTGATAAAATATAAACTAATTTGACAAAAATAAATAAAAAAATATTTTTGAATTTTTAAAAATTATTTCTACCCACTAAAGATAAAATTATGTAAAATTGATAAATATTTTAAACATTTATTTATTTAATTTTTTACTAAATTAATTTTTATTATGTATTTAGATAATAATTATGTAATGGGTGTTTGTTTTTTATTTTATTAAATTAGTCTCTATTTTTTCAAAAGTCAAATATGACGATAATTTTGATATCATTATTAAACCAATCCATTAAATCAAAGAATTCAAAACTAAAAACATTTCATATATAAATATATCGATTATATATTAAAAGCTTAACAACTACCCATTACATGATCATCATCCAAACATATAATAAAAATTATTTTGGTAAAATAAATAAATAAATAAATGTCTATAAGATTTATCAATTTTATATAATTTTAACTTTGGTGGGTATAAATAATTTTTTTAAATTTTAAAATATATTTTTTGACATTTATTTTTATCAAATTAGTTTATGTTTTATCAAATTAACGAGTTTGCCCTTGAAATTGGGTAATGATATCTTCAATTGTTTTTATTTAAAACAAGATTCAAAATTCAGGATCAAATGGCACGAGCTCCAAACTATTGGGACCGTTAGTGTAATTCACCTGTTTTAGTTTGAACAATTTAACCCTTACACTTTAAGTCTATTTTCAATTTGGCCTTTTTGTTTAAATTTTAGTTAATTTTTCCTACAGGTACACCTTAGGAAACTGACAAATGTCCTAAAATTATTAATTTTAACCTCTAACTTAAACAAAAAGACTAAACTGAAATTAGATTTAAACAATAGGAACCAAACTGCTATATCTGAAACAATTAAAGCTAAAATGAACTTAGGTCCTGTAGACCAAAACTTCTAATTTAGCCCCTGCAAACATTTATACATTTTAGATAAATTATGTTGGTAATCCTTGTAATTTTATTCGCGTGTCATTTTAATTCTTATAATTTCAATTTGTTTAATTTTGACACTGAATTTATAAATTTGTATCAATTTTAGTCTAATTGATTGCAATGGTTAGAATTGTTTTATGAAAAATACACACATAAGTGACATGTCATGCTTCAGGGACAAAGTTATAAATTTGTTTAACTCAATGAGTTAACATCAACTAATTCAATGATTATTTTTCGTCAAAAACACTAACAATGTTATCAATTGGACCAAATTGACATCAAATCAAAAATTAAGAGTCAAAATTAAACTAATTAAAAATATAACAATCAAAATAACACAAAGAATAAAATACAAAAACTACCAATATAATTTGCCTATGTATTTTAAAAGAGGAGAAAATTATGCAAATAGTCCATATAGTTTACGCAATGTGTTAATTTGGTCCCTATAGTTTCAATTTGCTCGATTTTACCCCTTAATTTAACAGATTGTGTCATTTTAGTCTAATAAATAATTGTTGTTAAGTTAATTTAAACGGAAAGT